TCTAGGCCTTACCTGTTGCATGTATTGCCAATCTTGCACACCAGTTAATATGTTACATGAATCTCGTGTTTTCGTTTTATTGAACATACACTTATTTGTAAGTTGTACTCTAGGACTTGTATTTGATCTACAGATGAATAATGGAATAGTGTAATTTACTTCTGTACGTCAATTCGGTCTCACTGTATTTCAGTGGGTGGCTTTTAAAAGTTAAAACTGCAAGCGTAACACACACAAATAACGCAACACTGTGTCGTATTTACTTAACATAGGGCAGTTGCGCTATATCCTAGGGGAGGGCATAATTATTAATTAATAGGCATTATAGGCCAGAGGAAATTTTGCACCCCCTACACACCTGCACCCGGGGACGACTGCCCCCTTTGCTACACCACTGAGGATGGGACCACTTCGTATTTAGAATTACGTGGAGACAGTGGACCTCCTTCCATGAACAATATACAAAACTGACACTGATCAAAAAGAAGGGCCATGCACCCCCAAACCAGATAGCTTTGTGTCAAACCTGAACCAGAATTACAAGTATGCTCCCGCAGAGGCTCGTGCCACTCCTACTTACATCTGGGAAAACATCCTGGAACCTGAGTGGAGGAAAAGCCACTGTCTGCCACCTCAGTCAGTGACTGGATACTGGGGTGGTAAGAACTCACAAACTCCACCAGTAGTGTCTTGGGGGGGGGGGCTATTATACACATTGGGGAGTGCTGAGGAACAGTGCTCTAGAAACTGTGCATTAGGTGAACTAAATTCCAAAATTTTTAAAAACTGACCCCAATTTATTCAACCTGAAGATCGGGAGGGACAGGCAGGATCCTCTTTATCTTTACTCATGATAGTCCATGAGTGGTGGTCCATAATAATAAGGTAATACCATCTGGTAGGCACCTAGATGGTGTTATGGCACATCTAATTTCAACAGAGCCAGTTGCAATCTGAAGTAATCATTGTGTAAGTGGTTGCTAGTGCAGAATTGAAAGGAGAAAGCATACCTGCTTGGGCAACACTCCTCACAGAGTGGATCCAGTGAAAAAATAAAGTATACGATTGAGGAAAATAATCACCTTTGGTGAAAATCTAACATATGTGGTCAAAATAGCTACAAAGGTTAGTCAAAAACCCTTAGAAGAGGAAAATGCCAAATCATGTAAATAATGAGGTAGGAAAGTATTAGGAGTAATTCACATACCAGACCGTACAATATCTTCCAGAGAGTAATTCAACCGGACAGCTATTGACATAGAGATATGACAAATCTGGTGAGATGTTGCATGCTAAAGATTCCTCTCCTATAATGATAATTCCTTATAGGCCACGTGAATCAATTTACAAAGCCACCTCATTAGGATAATGGGAGATAAGTAACTGGAAAAAAGAAGTGAGTTAGTATGAGTTACATAACACTTGAGGGCCCTAACAGGATCGGAGCAGTCATAAGTTGAGAAATGGCTGGCAAATGAATTAGTGAGAAGGATCTTTTCCCTTCCCTAGCTGTCAGTCTTGGACAGAAAAGACCTATTGGGGTAAAGCAGCACAAATGTGGAATGATAAAGAGTCCGAAGCACATGAATTTCAAACAACTCCAACTGACGATGTCCACAAGCCAATAACAACAAAAAATATGAAGCTAAGGGCTCAAAGGGAGGATGAGACAATGCATGTAAAACAACTGTAAAAATCACAATTTGATAGTTGAAAAGGTAATTTGGGTCAAAGAATATGAAGAGTTTTGAGTAGATATGATAGTACTGATAATTCAAAAATCTTCCAATTTTTGGAATACCAAAGATAGTGGATAAGGATGTATTATATAATGCAACTATAAGCGAAGCAAGACCCCTCTCAAATACCCAAGTCATAAAATGGGATATGGTAGATACTTTATGATGAAGAGTGTTGAAATTCTTTTTCAGACACCACTGATGATAAGTATTCCATTTCCATTGATACACAGCTGTGGTTGGCCTACAGGGAAATTTAATTAATAACAGAGAAACCATATAAGTTAAACCCTTATGTTGGGCAAAGGACTGCATATCTTTCAAGCATGAAGACTGAGTCTCCAAACATGTCTGATTGAGGTTGTCTCAAAGACTACCAATGTGGAAGAAGTAGAGGAGGACATACCTGCAGATTCTGCTATTGTAATATAGAGATAAGCATCAGTACCATTAAACTTGGTCATCCAGAGCCCTGGTGCAAAGTGCCACCATAGGTTGAGAAAGGATTCCATAGTAATTAGTTGAGTCACGACAGATCGATGATTTGACACCAATTTCCTATCTTCCTGAATACAATGAATAAATGGGAATAAAATCCTGGAAGAACTGGATCAACTCTCTTATAGCCTGAGAACGAAGCTCCACTCATTGTGAATATGATGAAGGTGACAAGGCAAAAGGCTGTGCAAATAAAGGTGGGGGTGATGTAAATTGAATGACCAACCCTGAATCCAGAGCAAGGTATACCCATGAATCCCTGGTGAAAGAACTCCATATGTCCAGAAAGTGATGTAAACGTGGTCCCACTGCTCCCCTGCCCATGGGATAGATACTGACGCTGTTGTCGACGGTCCATCTGAGCTGAAAATCCTCAAGAATATGGAAGGACTCATTATGGGAACCAATATACCTGGGAACTGAAAGACAAGTCGTGAGAGTAAGATGAATCCAACAAAACTGTCATCTGTTTAAAGTTATCACAGGTTCCAATCAAGACCTCCACAAGTCCAAAAGGGGGTCCATTTGTTGATAATCTAAATGCAACTCCTCCTAGCGATGATAAGCCAAAACATGCTGTTCCAATAAATGAGGAGGGATAAGTCATAGCTATCCTGTGGTGTAACTGAGCTGCAAATCTCCCAGCATGAACAGCAATATCAGGAGTAGAGTTAAATGCAATTGGAGAGACCCCAAACCTCACAAACCTGTGTAACCAACTGAAGAAAAGGAGCTGATCAATCTGATTCCTTGTTAAGGCTGATCCACTAAAAGAAGGAGACGGAAAATGCGAGTCTAAGTTCTCCCCAGCTGGTCTGAGTAATTTGCAAAAGCCACCTCAGAACCCCTTGCAGAAACACCCTCAGTATGCATATATGTATTCATCTTGCAACAGATCATATCACAGACATCCTCAACCGAGAGTGACCCCTCCCGTGGCCATTGGTACATGATGGTGGTTTTTTTTTTCTTAAAGTAATCTATAAATATACAAAAATATAACTATAGTAACACAAGCCACGTTCAAAGTCGCAACATAAATTGTGAATAATCACAACACTCTTGTTTATAGAAACCCGTGCAGATTGCTTTGTCAAGAAAAAGTGATTACATTATCTGAATGAGGTGTTTATATGAAGTACCTAGATAGAGGGCATATTAAGTTGGTGGAAAAATTGGAAAATTAGAATTTGCCATTGTCATTCAAATGTGTGGTATAAAGACTGGAGCAAGCATTTTAAATGCTTAAATGGGCATAGAGTGGAAACCCTGGATATCGAGAAATAGTTATGGTATCAGTGGAGGTAAGTATGTTTTGGAATTGTGTCAACATACCTAGCCTACCTGTTTTATCAACAGTTCTAACACTAATGACTACTTTATCCCCAGTATCAAGATTTTTTTTTCAACATACACAAATAAATTTTTTTTAGTCAGCACATAATAAAGACAATTCAACTTGAGTTATAAAAAACTTGGTAGAAAATTCATTGGCATTTTGAAATTAACGCTGATAGTTTTTTTATTGTTATTTCTTTTTTTCAACAGAAACCGCAACAAAAAGTAAGAAACATTAATATCAATAAAACTAAAGTTAAAAGTTATCATTAAAATAAGAACCAATAACTTAATTATAAATTATATTCTATAGAGTCAGAAGGAACAATTTCTTAGCTATTTATAGTAATAAGTGAGTAAACATCTCTACTTTGGTATTAGCTACTTTCTAAGAAATGTTACATATTTTATACACAGATATACATACACCATGTTTCAACACCTTTACCTTGATAGGCTTGTATACCAAAAATTAACAGATATAATTTACACTGTAAACGTTTTATTGAGCTAAAATAATATATTAAAAACTAAAGATCATTACCTTCAAGGCAACTATGAACTTAGTTTTCTTCTCTCTTGCTAAATAAACATTCCCAAACTTGCCTCTTCCTAGGGGGCGCCCAATGTCAAAGCTTTCTAAACACCACCTCCTGCATATTTTAAAAGTTTAAGAAAATATAGAGAAACTTAGCACACTGTTAACAATTCCAACAGATACACTAATATACATCTTTAAGCTTGTACTGACTGTTAAACACCAGGTAGTACTTACACATTCAAATGAAAAACCACTGACCTTCTAAAACTCAATGATTTCAAGTGAAATATATTATGTCATTGCAAGATTTAAATATTTTCTATCATACTAAATAAAGTTTAAAAAATTTGAGTAACAACTTTAAATGTTTGGTTAACATTTTTACAGTCACTTGGAAATTATATGATGACATTTTAACTCTCTGCAAATTTGCAATTATTTCTTGAATTTAGCATTTTCACATGTTATCAGTTAAATATTTTAACGAAAACAACAACAAAGAGAAATATCCATTTAGAAATATCTGGAAATTTAACAAAATGTACTTATACAATAAAAATATTTACTTTCAATATAATTTCAACTTCACACTGTTTTATATCCCATTTTTCCTTTGTAAACTTCCAGGAAACAAAGAATTAATGAGAAAATTAAAATGTATGTACCACACAAATTGGTATTGAGAGAGAGAGAGAGAAGTCAAAAAAATACACGTTTGTTGTCCTTTGTTTAAAAGAATTGGCTGAAACTAAGAGTATAATTTAGTATATATATATAAAGAGTATAAATTAATATAATCACTCTGAAAAATACGTTTAAAATTAGCATTTTATCAATTAGAAAAAAATAATAGTTTTGGCTCACTTATTACTGGAATACTGTTGTGAACAAAAGAATGAATAATTTTATACCTATAACAATCTTATTATCAATGAACTCTGTCAAATGTAGTAGCATGTGCTGTTCAGTTTATTGTCACTTTGTACAATGAATATGTACCTAAAGCATTCACGTGCTTGATTGTTTACGAGTAGCTGTGTACATTCTGTTCACCCACCATATGCTCAATCTCGTCAATATAGCACTGTTACTGTACCATAAACTCAATCCCCAGGACAAAGCTTACATAAAAAAAGCTCAAAATAGAAAAATAAGTCTCATGAAAATGATCGATTACTTAAATGTAATCGATTAATGAACTCAATAATTAGTGAATCAGAAAATCCTATTAATTGCTAAGCTCTATGTGAATATTAAGTGTCATGTTTGATAACCTTAATATTAGAAACTTTGGACTGAATACATAGGTAATTTTGAAAAAAAAAATAATACTTTTTTTACACCAAATTTGTTAATTTGTACTTATGTGCTAAAAATAATAAAATATTAAATTTTATGTACTTCCGAAACCTTCATAAAACGTTTATTCCTACGTAATAAACAGAGGCCTGATTTCAGCTCTTAAAATGACTCTATCTCAAAACTTTTCCTGTTATCTTAACTGAAATGGATATTAAAAATATCTAAAACTACACAAAGTACCTAAATTTATTTTCCAAAATCTCAAACACAAATATTTCCACATCTCTTTTTTTTCAGTAGCATACATGAGAAATACCAGTTGTACTAGCTGTACTGTCCTAGCCATTGATTAAAGCAGGTCAACCTTTCTGAGTTATATACTAATGCCACCTAAAGACAACTGACATGATCATATGCTTGTTGGAAATGCAGAATTCACTAGAAACTTAAAATTAATCTACTACATACATGTGATCTACAAGTTATCATCAAATATTTTTAAGTAACACCAAATGTCTCATAATACAATGTTTGTTTGTTTTAAAACAAAGCCACTTTGTCAACAGTGGGGAATCAAACCCCAAGTTTTAGCATTGTAAGTCTCTAGACTTACCATTGTTCCACCACAAAATACCATAAAGAAAGATCCATAACCAACTGTAAAAATATCAATTTCACAGTCAAGCATAAAATAAATGGTATCATACCTGTAAGTTTTCTTAGAAGGACGGCTTTCACTTCCACCAGAATTAAAGCTTTGGTTCATTTCTTGGAGAGCTTTTCTGTTTTCTGTATCATCAAATGTTCTGACAACCTAATACAAAAAATTAAAACAATATCATATTACAGGAAGAAAAGAAATATATTGCCATATGTTAACTAAACAAAACTCTTGGGCTATATTTCTTACCCATTCCATGAATTACATTCTTATCTCCCTCCTTGTCTCGTCGGTTACTGACCAACATTTGCAGTGTGTAATCTTGTGCAAATTTCATTCTGCATTACATATATCTCACACTCTCTAGTGGCAGAATCTTGAAGCCAATTGTCTTGTATTATCACCTGTTTGTAGACATACACCTTTAGATGGATATGTTTACTCTCAAACCCACAGATGGGTAGGAGAGTGGGAATATTTATAGTAGAGGCTAGTATCTCTTTGAACGATGGTCTAGCAATACAATAGTATTCTCCAGTATAATATACTTACAATATAAGTTCTGTAACTTCAAGATAAAATCCCTACATGAAAGCCTCATTGGAGGAAGCAGAGAAATGCTTCTACTGGAAGATGAAGAAACAATGCTTTTCTTTGTATCTAAACACATGTAACTTGAACTACCACAAATGACTTGCTGAAATGTTACCAGTGTTCACTATAGTGTTATGGCCAGATCATTGGAGGAGATGTGAACTGGTAAGCAGTTCAAAACAAGAGAGAATGTGGCTTAAGGACCTGGGGAAAGGTCAGAGGCAACAAACGATCCAACCATCTGAGCAAATACTGTATATCAACTGATAACCTATCTAATTCATAGGGTGAAATTTCACTTCTCAATCAACAGACAGATCAAAAGTCAAGTATGAAGATTTAATATAAAGTTTAAAAACTGAGGTTCTACTTAAACACCATTCTGTATTGTTGCTGGTGCTACTTTTTCCCAAACTTGGGGAATCAGAAGTTACAAGTGTTGAATTTATAGTAGAAGAAGCCAAGGCAACATCAGCCAAAAAAAAAAGTGCCTGATAATGTGTTCGGTAAAACTTTAAAACACCAATGCTTGTAACTAAAGTGGACAGAAGCATATAAAAACTTTTGGTCAATCCTGGGTCAAGGCATCTACAACCAGGACTGCTAGATCCAGTGACTGAGACTAGAGTTGGCCAATTAATGGAATATGCTATTCAACAAGTAATCTGTCTCATTATTTGAATACATTCAACTAATCAATTATCATATTTGCATGAACATAATGGTCCCTTTTTTTCCTCCAAATACCTCCCGAAAAATTGACTGCACATTATAATCGTGCACATCCAATTTTTTTATGTATTCTACTAAAAGCTAATACCAAAAATCCTTAAAGATTTCAAAAAATGTTGCATATCCAACGCAATGAATGGGACAGATGATACCGTGCTGCAAGAATCAGAAGAGGCTGAAGCAAAGGTTCAAGAAAGCAAATCCTATGAATCTCATGGTAACAACAATTCTAGTGATGATGATGATGAAGATTTATGTGAAGATGGATGATTAGCTTAGCGTATAACCACATATAAACTTTTCAATAAATTTTGTACAATAGACACGCAAAGAAATGTCATTGAAAGATTTGCAAAAATGTTTAATACATCAATATGTAGTTGTTTACTGGACTTGGAAACCATTCAATACATTTTGTACAACTTATGTGTAACAAAAAAAAACTTTCCTTTCAAAATTGGGTATGCAAAATACTTAGACAAATATAGTACTCTCATGAAACTGTAAAAAAAAAATGAAATTATTCTCATGAGTTAAATATAAAAATACTTATAATGCTACAAATTAGGTTTCAATATCCATGGTGGGCAGATCACAGATAACCAATTGTGTAGCTTTGTATTTAATTACAAACATTAATATTACAATTATTTGGATAGTTGGAATAATAAAAAATAATTGAAAACCTAATTTCAAGTAATTGATTATATTTTTCAGTTTTGATGCTAAACGATTAAGCAGAGGTTGTTCTGGGCTTTGACAAAATTGTATTTTACAATAAGTTAGTTCTGTTAGATACAAAATCTGATGTCTGGCATTATTTTTGCCCCATATTTGATGCCAGTAAAATAAGAACAATGATTATATATCAGATTGTTAATTAAATATTGAATTAAATATTAATAATACTGTTATGACAACAGAAGTCACGCTGGGAGCATGCACGCTGGAGTTTCTAGAAGGATCGTGATTCAGCGGGCAACCTCACGAATGTCCCAGAATTTGCTAGATGCCCTCCTTTTTTTAGTATATATGCCAGAGATAGATTGAAGATAAATAATTGAGATAAT